TTTACTGATGAAGTTTGAAAAGTTTACTACAACTCTCACAATCATCATAGTCATTACGGTCACAGGATAAGGAGTACTGAGAATTGTAGTCCAGGAAAAACCTTTTTGAGATCTAATCTTTGGAGGTATTTTTGAGGCCAGATGTAATTGCAAATGTGTATCCAGGCTCAGAATATGAACTACTGTCAAAGTTCCAAAGAAATATTTCATCCGGGTTGCTGTGGGTTTTCTGGGCTGTATGGCCATGATCCAGAAGCATTTTCTCCTGACGTTTCACCCACATCTATGACAGGCATTCTTAGAGGTTGTGAGGTGAGGATGCCTTCCATAGATGTGGGCGAAACATCAGGAGAAAATGCTTCTTAAACATGGCCACACAGCCCAGAAAAATAGCAACCCAGTGATTCTGGCCATGTAAACCTTCGACAACATAATATCTCGTAATTAGGATTCTAACTCTTGGGGGACACTGAAAAAATAGGAAAGGATAATCTCTGGAACACTAGGTCATGACATTTCTTCCACAGAAGTATCATAAAATATATTTATAGTTGAGGAATAAATTGTTTCCTAAAAATCCGTCGTTAACTGGATGCAGCAGTTGGGAGTGATCCTGGATTCATCGCTAAGCGTGAAACCCCAGGTCTCGGCGGTGGCCAGAGGAGCTTTTGCACAGTTAAAACTAGTGCACCACCTGTGCCTGTACCTTGGGAAATTTGATCTGTCCAAGGTGGTCCACGCTCTAGTTATATCCCAAATAGATTACTGCAACGCACTCTACATGGGGCTGTGTTTGAAGACTGTTCAGAAACCCCAACTGGCAGCTAGATTGCTCACCGGAGCGGCCTACAGGAACATACCACCCCCCTGTTACGTCAGCTCCACTGGCTGCCGGTCCAGTTTCGAGCACAATTCAAAGTGCTGGTTTTGGCGTATAGAGCCCTATACTGTTCCGGCCCAGCCTACTTGTCTGAATGCATCTCCCTCTATGATCTGCCTCAGAATTTAAGATGGTCCAAGGAGGCCCTGCTCTCAGTCCCGCGGGGACAGGAGACAGGACCTTCTCAGTGGTGGCCCCCCATCTGTGGAACTCATTCCTCATGAAATTACATTGGCGCCATCTCTCCTTTCCTTCAGGTAAAAGCACAAATCGTGGTTTTGGGACCAGGCATTTGGACAGCAGGCTTAGCAGCAATCATAATTGATGTATATGAACTGATAATGGAGAGGCTTTGGACTAAGTCCCTGAATGTTGAATCAAACTTGGATGTGGCCATATTATTGTTAATAATGTTTTTAATTGCCTATTTATATTTCATGTTTTAATCAATGTTTTAATTGTGTTCTATTGCTATGTTGTGTGTTGGCATCGAATTGTTGCCGGTGTAAGCCGCCCTGAGTCCCCCCTCAGGGGTTGAGACAGATGGGGTACAAATGTTTGAAATAAATAAAGAAATAAATTAGCCACTGCCGATTTTCTGAGAGGTGAGTGCATTAAGCAAGAGGGAGAATTTGGGGCGACCTCGGGTAGCATCCTTGAAGTGACTGGACTGACCTTGAAGGAGCTGGGGGTGGTGACGGCCGACAGGGAGCTCTGGCGTGGGCTGGTCCATGAGGTCACGAAGAGTCGGAGACGACTGAACGAATGAACAACAACAACAGGTAGCTGATTCGAGACAAAAGGCACAATGAGGCAAAACAACATGAGTACCAAAATCAAATATCTTGATCTTTATTCCCCTATACTTGACTTCATTCACACAACAGCCCTATAAGGGAGGTAGAAATCCACACCTAGTCACCTTCCAACTGTCACATTACTATAGCACCCACGAAACCTCACTATTGCTCATGCTTTTTAGGACTGATGAGGGTTACAATCCAACAACATAATGAGGGTTGTCTACCTCTGATTGCAAACTAGGTGGATTATTGATGTGACTTGGTAGAAGGCAGTTTCTTCTAGTCTAGCTTCAGTGTCTTCATCCTCTCCATCACTTTGTATCCCTGCTCCTTGCCCATATTGACTGATAAAATCTTGTTATTTGACATGACAACTAATGTGAAATTCTCTTTTCATTTCCAAATTTCTATCGTTGACAGGTAGAGTTTTGTTGTATTTGCTTTACATGTTCTCTTGACAATTTGATTCCTTTACTTTGGGTACTTAACTGTATTTCTAACTACTTAAATAAATGTAAGTTTCTGCAATACTAGAAATAAGAGGACTAAATGAACATTTTTTGGAGGGAAGGAAGTATTTGGATGAGAGGGGCATGTTCTAATACCTTTGCAGCTTCACCATCATGGTTCCTCCCAGTGTCAGCAAATGGTAGACAAATTACTTGGGAATATGATGTAAATTTTATTCTCAGAGACAAAAATAGAAAAGGTAATTGGTTTGTTTCCCAACTTTTTAATCCATGCTATTCCTGTACATCTTTCCATTGATTTTCCATTTTTGTAGATCATTATTGCATTTTTGTCATTTGTTTGGTAGCATGAATTTTGAAAGGCCCCTGATATGCTTGGAATTAAAAATCAGGGTGGACACTGTAAACCAGGGATCCACAAACTTTTTAAACAGAGGGCCAGGTCACAGACACTCAAACTGTTGGAGGGCCGGATTATAATTTGAAAAAAAAAATGAATTCCTATGCACACTGCACATATCTTATTTGTAGTGCAAAAACACTTTAAAACAATACAATAATTAAAATGAAGAACAATTTTAGTAAATATAAGCTTATTAGTATTTCAATGGGAAGTGTGGGCCTGCTTTTGGCTAATGAGATAGGATTGTTGTTGTTATTGTGTGCTTTCAAGTCGTTTCAGACTTAGGTTGACCCTGAGCGAGGGCCGGGTAAATGACCTTGGAGGGCTGCATCTGGCCCCCGGGCCTTAGTATGAGGACCCCTGCTGTAAACAAACAAGCAGAATATACAACCCAATGTATTTTCGCGGGGATGCTCCTGTTCAATGTTTGAATCTAGCAGCCATGTCCTCCTCTAAGTTTCTTTCTCTACTCTCAGTATGTCCTGTACGTACTGTTTTGATCCTTAGACACTGAGAACTGGGAAGCCCTGGCCCTTGAGCTCTCCAGCTGGAGGTCAGCTGTGACCAGCAGTGCTGTAGAATTTGAAGAGGCACAAATGGAGGGTGAAAGAGAGAAATGTGCCAAGAGAAAGGCGCATCAAGCAAACCCCAACCAAGACCGCCTTCCATCTGGAAACCAATGCCCTCACAGCGGGAGAAGATGCAAATCAAGAATAGGGCTCCACAGTCACCTACGGACCCATCAGAACACTGACCTTGGAAGACCATCCCACTCGGACATCGAAGGATCACCTAAGTTAAAGTAAGAAAATAAGATCTTTAGTAGACTCTAATTTGGGGGGGGGGGGTTGGGGGGGGTAGTGCTAACCACAGTTGCCATTAGAACAGCTGAATGTAGGACAGTGTGCAACTCAAGGTCTTTAAACGAATGTGAGCCCCATAAGAAGCAATACATACTCCTTCCAGCTATGAAACTTTTTAATCAATGAGAGTGTGAAAAAGTGTCATATATGACAACATAATCTGTAGTTAATGTAGGATACACCATAAGGTATTGTCTGACCATTCCCCAGTTCTGTTACAATGTGGCCCGCCAAGGGGAAAAAATAATTACAGGTCAGGGTAAACTACAGCAACAATCCCAAACCATTCATGTCCCTCCCTGTTTCATTTTTAATGCTATTTGTAGAGGAGAGCTGCTGCCACCTCGAGGAACAAATGGAATCCACACTTTTATATCTCGGCTGTGAGATCTAAGCTGACAGCTTGAGGATCAAAGTATACTTTTTTAAAAAAGCATGTTTAACAGCAGTTTATAATGCGGGAAAAGATTCTGATAGTTGTACTGGAGATGCTACCAAACAATAAAAGAGCACCTTTTGTACATCTTCTGGGCTGCAATAGAAGCTACAAAGGAAGAGAAACCTTTGGATCCCTCCACTTATGGATAGTCCTTCTTACTCACCTCTCACCTTCATACCCTTCCTCCTTAGCCTTGTAAAAATGGAGCAAAAGTACCAGACACTTCTTTTTCTCCCGCCTGCTTATTTTTGCTGTCTGTGTGATGTGATGTTGATGGGACCTGTGCTCAATGAATCCAGTCTTCCTCTCCATTCAGCCCAATGCAACTTTTACCAGCAGCAGGGGCGGCTCAACCCATTACGCAAAGTAAGCATTTGCAGTATAGTTGATTTTGCCCAGGGGCGCTCTTGAGGTGCTCTTGGGGAAAAATAGACCTTGACATATGCAAGTTGCAGTTACTGGGATGTATAGTTCACCTAAAATCAAAGAGCATTCTGAACTCCACCAATGATGGAATTGAACCAAATATGGCACACAGAACTCCCACGACAAACAGAAAATATATATCAGTGATTGTTGGGGGGGGGGGGGGGGGGGGGGGGGGGGGGGGTGCCAAAATGCTGTTTGCTTACCGTTGAAAATTACCTAGGCCCGCCTCTGACCAGCAGGCATGGTAAAAGTTGCTAACTTTATGTGCTTGCTTGCTCTGGACCTAAACCTGCTTGTTATTCTGTCCAGAGAAGGTGCACAAACTGGAACTTCACAAGGAGATGGAAATAACATTTTGCTCAGTACTCGCTTCCACTATGTGGAGGCACCTGCTTCTTCCTATTGATGGTGGTCTTCTTTCTCTAGGTCAGGCATGGGCAAACTTCAGCCTCCAGTTGTTTTGGACTTCAACTCCCACAATTCCTAACAGCTGGTAAACTAGCTGGGATTTCTGGGAGTTGAAGTCCAAAACACCTGGAGAAACGGAGTTAGCCCATGCCTGCTCTAGGTTGTAAAAATTGAGAGAGTTTGGTTTGCTGAGCAAAATTTCCATTGCTGGGTGATGGAGGAATGATTAAATAGGCAAGCTGAATAGTGAGATGTCCATCTCAAGCAGCACCTCTCAAGTGTCACAAAAGGGCAGGAAACTGTGATTTCATTAGCTTACTATTATAGCATTTTATTTCATTTTTCTTTATCACCAGTGATGGGGAAAAGTCGCTTGTTAGAAACTGAGCCTTGTAGCCCAAAATAACTTTGCTGGCTCTGGATACTCTGCACTTTGACCTTAGGCTTGAGTTATCTATCTCAGGCAGTAAAACATAATGGTTTGGCCCCCAAGTGTCCCTAAACTAAATCTGACCAAGTAGCCTTTGCGATGCTTCTCTTCAAAACGCTTCACGCCTGTTCTTTTAGAAAAGAAAGTTTATTAGTCATGCTGCTCACCAGGATGCAGTCTTATAAAAGGAACAATGCAGCTGCTTGGCACATTCCACACCCCCAAACTTGGGCACACTTACTCTCCCCATGCGGCATGGCCTTACTGGCCTAGTATATCTTGTTTACTGGGAGCTTTCTGTTCTTCTGTAACTTAAGATCTATAATAAGAATAGAAAAGCTTGCAGGAAAAAGTCTAGTGTGGTGGGGACAGCCCCTTGCATACTATTTACTTGCATACTTCTTGGTCAAGTAAGAACACTCCTGAATATGCACACATAGACACGCATCTCCCCACTGGATTGATAGTAGCTCAGCCACACCCAGTTGCTAGAAAAGGCAGCCCTTGTACTGGCTTTGGTAGAGGAAGTGGAAGGCATGGAATGGCCGAGCCTGTGAGAGGAGCCTGAAGGAATCCCAGCAGATGATTGTGGGAAGAGGGCAGACCTAGGAAAACTTTATTTAGGCTACAGCGCTCAATGATCATCATGACTGCAAGATTCCTAGAGTTATAGTCCATCAAAATAACATCTCCAAATTCTGAAGGAGGGGGATGTTCTGTTACACTATGCAGAGGAGGACAGTTGCATGCATCCAACACTAGGGAAGGAGAACTCTTTGGTATGCTTGGAAAAATTCACATTGGAATTAACCCAGGAATTGGAAATAAAAAGAGGTAGCTGTATAAGTATGTAGTAGAGAGTGGCTGTTGAGAATGCATTGATGCTTCTCCACAACGAAGCTGTGTTTTGTCTGTGAACTTCTGCACCATAGCCCCTTCAGCTCCTACTTCTCTTCCTAAGTAGTGTATTTAGCAAACACTGCTGCTAAAGGGGTCCAAGTGTTACCCTACTAGAAAGCACAAAATAAATTGGCCATTCAAAGTCATTATAGCAGGTGAACAGGAATGCAGAGTATGATCTGGACCCTAAGCATTACTGTATACAACAGTGCTGTAGTGCTCAGGATCCAGTCCAGACAAGCCCCATGGATTGGACAAGAGTTTTCTCCTTTGTTCCTCCTTGATAAAATTTTATTACTTGCACTCAAAATGCTATCATAGCCCTCTCTGTTTTTGTGACACCTCTCACTCTTTCTCAGCTTAATGCACTTGCACAACAGCCCTTTGCACCCTCGCCACCCTCCCTGTGAGCAATACACACTGCAGCAATGAGAATCGTATTACAATGAAGCTCACAAAGAGGTTCAGCTAAGAGCATGCATAGCTTTGAGGGCACTCCACTTAGATGTCTCTTCTCCCTTTCCTTCAGGTACAGAGTGGCAGCTTTTGGCCTTCTGTGTGCATTAACACAAGGCTCATCCAGCATGACTGCATCCAAATGATCTCTTGGAAATTGCACCGACATGCCGTCTTGCAGTATCATATGACATCACATCCTCTTTCCGCACAACTATTTCCCAGTTCTGTCCCTCTCATTTCAGCAACTCAGCCAATTTTTTTCTTCCTTTGTTTCCATGGTTTTGTTCTTCCTTCAGTCTGTCCAAACTGCTTTCTGGTCCCCAGGAAGCATTCTTGACACCAAGGAGAAACAGGCAAGAGGCAGCATGCCCCTTGGATATACAAATAGATTGCGTTGTCGATAGCATCCTCAGGTGAGGAATGGGGTGGGGATTTGCCACAGCAAGCTGGCAAAGCAAGCGTTCAGTAGCAGGAATGGTGTTTGATGGATTGCTATGAAGTCCCATGTTTGGTATGATGAAACAGAAATATACAAAAATGCGCCTTGGTACTATATTGCGGGAAGAGGGTTGTAAGATTTATCTATAGAAAGATATTTTGTGTGTCTGTGTATGTATGTATTTGTGTATGTGTATGCATGTGCCCATGTGAGGCCAAAAAGAGGAAACGTGAAAGATTACATGTTCAGCTCTTGACATTCTTCTGCTGCTGTGTGCCTCACTCACTGTCACTTTTGTCTGCCAGCATGGTGTCTGCCTCTTCTGTAATTTGCAGGAGTGTGCTCATCTCAGGGCTTTCACCCCTCAGAAGATCAGCATTCTCTGTTTCATCCCCACCAACTTCTACCATCTCAGTGGCCTTCACTTCTACCTCTCCTTCCCGGATCTTCTTGACATGGAAAGTGAAAGGTGGTACTTTGTAGACAGCCGTCTTGGAGCGTGCATAGACCACATGGTCTGGTGTGAAGGACTTCCTCAGCTTCTCCCGAGAAGTCTTCATCTTCTCCCTGCGTTCAGTAGTGACAATTTTGGTGCCCAGCTTGTTCATCCTCTTCTCTAAGTTGTGCCGGGTCTTCTCCAGATTCTGCTTGGTCTTCTCCAAGTTCTCTCTGGTCTTCAGCTTGGTCTTCTCCAGGTTCTCTCTGGTCTTCAGCTTGGTCTTCTCCATCTTATCTTTGGAGAATGCCTTTTTGAAGTCATCCACCTTTCTCATGCCACTCCGCTTAATGCGTTCTGCCCGTGATTCCTCGATAATCTCTTCTACCTCTACTTCTTCATCTGAAGAGAGTTCAATATGTTCCTCTTCTGGGTGTTCTTCGCCTGCTGGCAACTCTTCACCTGCTCCTTCTTTTTCCATCTCTTTCAAAGACTTACTAATGCTTAGTTTGGTTGGCAGTTTCACTTCATCCTGAAAGACACAACATTGAAACAGTGAGACCCTTAATGCTATACCATTCCTTAAGCATATCTGGCCAAGAAGCATTGATTTGAAAACAGATTAAAACTGTTCAAAATAGTTTGAAATGATTTAAAATATGCACATTTTATGGTCTGAGTATAACTAGGCTCCAAAGACTTTAGTGAATAGGCATATTTTGATGTGATGGCAGGATGATGGCAACATTGACACTAACTGGGCTTCTATGTTGTTGTTTGTTTTAAAAAAAATTGCTATTACTACAGTGAACCAGGTTCTCAAAATCCTTCCTTTTACCATGTTTTGATTGGTAAATTCTTAGGCACATTATCATGGGTTTATCTAAATAATGATCTGCCACTAGGGGTATACTTCCATGTGGAGCATTTACCACATTTTCCAAACAAAACTGTTTTCATGTTGGCTACAATATAATTGCTGTTCTTGTTTTAATGCAGCATAGAATATGTCTCATGCAATTATCACTCTATTTTCTGGCTTATTATCTGTGGTGCTATTCAGGGAAGTTAACACAATCCCTATTTCTTCCCCTATTTCTTTTATAATGAACATTTTGGGAATATTATTTCACTCTCTTAACTCATAATTTGAGAAAGAGGTCTATATCACATATACCTCATGAAGTCAAACTGTAGTGTGGTCCCACTGCACCACTGGTTTTTTATTTTCATTTTTTATTTTCCAGATATACATATGACCCCCATACCCATAAAAATCCATGGATGATAGCGAACCCTATTGAAATTTCCACTGCAAATTCTAGAGTCACCCTGGAAAAGTCTTAAAGAGCTATCCCATCTAGGAATTTGTTAGGTGCTCCAGGGCAACTTTATTGGAACCTGAAGATCACAACCAGACATAGTGAAGACATCTGCCCTTGTGCTTTGCTACCCTGCTGCTGAATATGCATGCCCAGTGTTGAATACATCTCACCATGTTTAAACCATGGATAGAGACATGGCACATTATCACAGGATATCTACGCCCTACACCATTGAAGAAATTGTACTGTTTAGCTGGTACTGCACCACCTGACATCCATTGGGAAGTAGCAGCCAGTAATGAAAGGACCAAAGCATTGACATCTCCAGCCCATCCTCTGTTTGGATGTCAGGCAGCATGCCAACATCTTAAATCAAGAAACAGTTTCCTAAAATCCACAGAGATACTCGCAAAACACATCAGCAAGTAAGAGTCCAAAAGTGACAGCTAAAACCCGGAATCTCAATCCATAGCTGATATCAGATGAGAAACTCCCTTCTGGGTACACAGAAGACTGGGCAACTTGTAAGGCGCTGAATAGACTGCACTCTGGCACCACAAGATGAAGACCAATCTTTGGAAATGAGGATACAAAGTGAAGTCCACGACATACAAGTGTGGAGAAGAACAAACCAGGACCACTTACTACAATCCAACTTGAGCCCTGCCACATACATAATGGAGGACCTTTTCACAGTGGCACCATTGGTGCTCCAAGTGGCCAGCTTCTGGTCAAAGAAAATCTAGTTTAATGCCAAGTTTTAAACTTTGTGTTTTTAAGTGCATTATTGATGTATCCTCAATTTGCTTTTGACATGATGAATGCATACATTGGAACTTCATGGAAAGGCACACCAAAGAATTTCCAAGATGATCAAGAAAATTCATAGAGAAGAGATATGTTGTTGGAGGTGAAACTGCGGGTACTGGTCCCATGAGTTGTGAACAGCAAAAGACTTCATTTTCATAATGTCCTACCCACTTCAGTTCCAGGCCAGTGTGCTATATTGGAGTGTTAAGCCACATTGAACAGACCTGATCTAATGAAATTGGATTGTGGGCAGTTGCCAGGATTTGGAGAAAATAAATGAAACGGTTATAAAAAGCTACATGGATAAGAACTCATCATGAAAAGCTCTCTCGCTCATATCCACCCCCTTTCCCATTACAGGAGTGGCTTGGAGTGCAATGCAGTGGCTTTAAAGCAGTTGCGGCATGTGCATTCAGAAATACTGAATAGCTAGGAGTGCCCCCTTGTGCATATACCTTGTTATGGCACTCACCCAAGGGAACAGGCCCTGAAAAGCATTTGACTGGACAAATGCCAGTGAGACTGAAAATATCTGGCTATAGCATTACCTGTCACATATTTGTCAGTGTTCCATATTTCTCTTCAACATACCCAAACCAACAAAGCATTTGCATAGTGCTACAAAACTCTCTCTCTCTCTCTCTCTCTTTATTTCCTGGAGACCAATAACAGAGTATTTGAGAAAGCATCACTCACTAGAGCAGCGTTTCTCAACCTGGGGGTCAGGACTCCTGGGGGGGGTTGCGAGGGGGTTTCAGAGGGGTCATAAAAGACCATCAGAAAACATAGTATTTTCTGTTAGTCATGGGGGTTCTGTGTGGGAAGTTTGGCCCAATTCTCTCATTGGTGGGATTTACAATGCTCTTTGATTGTAGATGAACTATAAATCCAAGCAACTACAACCCCCAAATGTCAAGGTCTATTTTCTCCAAACCCCACCAGTGTTCACATTTGGGCATTTTGAGTATCTGCACCAAGTTTGGTCCAGATCAATCATTGTTTGAGTTCACAGTGCTCTCTGGATGTAGGTGAACTACAACTCTAAAACTCAAGGTCAATGCCCACCAAATCCAGTATTTTCTGTTGGTTATGGGAGTTCTGTGTGCCAAGTTTGGTTCAATTCCATCGTTGGCAGAGTTCAGAATGCTCTTAGATTTTAAGTTAATTATAAATTCCAGCAACTACAACTCCCAAATGACAAAATCAACCCCATCCTCAACAGTATTCAAATTTGGGTGTATTTGGTATTTCTGCCAAATTTGGTCCAGTGAATGAAACTACATCCTGCATATGAGATGTATACATTACGATTCACAACAGTAGCAAAATGACAGTTACGAAGTAACAATGAAAATAATTTTATGGTTGTGGGTCAGCACAACATGAGGAACTGTATTAAGGGGTCACGGCATTAGGAAGGTTGAGAACCTCTGCACTAGAGGAAAGGTTAGATATAAATATAACCTATTAATTAATTAATGCATATCACATGATAGTCTTGTCTGCACTTTGAAGTGGTACAGTCTGGACACTGGTATACATCTCAAGTCAGAAGTGAGCCAAGTTCTTTTCTCTGATAATTCAATGCCTTGTTTCCCTCCGCACAGACCTCGGAGCCAAGGATGGTAGTGTGGCTGCGTGCGAAAGGAAAGCATGCAGGTCGACTTGTGTGGGTGATGGGAGGGCAGATCTGAACCAGGATGAGATAGGTTTTCACCCAAGCAGCACATAGTGTGCAACCCCGCTTGGCATTCCTGGAACAGGCTGGAAATAGCCACTGCCATACAGCATACTGGGACTAGATTTGAAAGACAGACAGCTTTATGGCTCTGAGTGTTGTACTATGTGAAAGGAGAGGCCTGAGGAAGGCGTGGAAATAGTTAGGAAAGTCACAGCCAGAGATTTAGGGAAGCTGGAATGAAACACAGAAGGAAGAAAGATTATAGAACATGATACTCCATCTTGATTTAACCAACTAATCTATAATTTGCGGAAATCCGAACAATCTAAAGCACCTGGCTATGCTTCAAAAGTTCACATTTTAAACTTTTATTCTTTTACACAGAGCTGGGGGGAAAATACTTTTTATGGATTGCCGCTTCCAAAAATGCCCAAGGTCTATGATTTTGCAAAGAGCATTCCTGAACAAATTAAATTTCCATCCTGTCTGTTTTTAATTCTCAGTTAGATGTTGTGGATTTGTTACTTCATTATTGGGTCACCAAGAATTCACACAATGTGATTTACTGAAATGGCAAAAATCATGAATTAGTATATTAGAATTTTTTTAAAAAAATTAAAATTTATGGTCTTGCTCAGAAACCTAATTCTAGCATTTGAAAGGTCTTATGAGTTATAAAGAGAAAAATGTGGGAAAACAGAAAATTATCTCACTTCGATACAAATCAACTTTATTTTATGTATGTGGTTCTCATTTGAGGCAGAGCTTTATTTTATGAAAAGTAGGTGCCTGCTTACCAAAAATGTGTTGGTGACTCAATAGTGTTATAGAAATGCAAGGGGCGTATTTTGAAAAAGAGATTAGTGGAGGGAAGCATAAGCATTCCTTTGCCTGGTGACTCTTCCCTACAACCCCGTGGCTCCAGTCCTCTTTCCTTTGCAGCTTCCAACCATGTTTACTTCCATGGAGTTGGGGGTGGAATAATCCACTGTAGATTTTGCAGACCAAAAACAATTGGAAGAGCACACAAAAAATCTTCTGCTATGCTAATACTTGTTTTTTTACAAATATGCAACTGGACAATACATGCATATAATAATAGCAGTAGAATTCGACCATTTCAGGACCTTAGTTTATGTGTGTGCCCTCTTGTACACACACACACAGCCCTCTGGGCTACAAAGACTGGAATTAAAGTTTGTTAACAATTTAAAAAATAGAAACTTGGAGGAGGGAGGCTGGGGTTTTACTGTTTTATAGTCATGCAGTAGTTTTTTAACTGTCCCCAAGGAATGTCTTAAAACATGAATGTGTCACCTAATATTTTAGTTGTTGTTGTTGTTGACCGGCTATATATGCCTAGAAGGTCTGGTGGAAGAGTACTTTTACAAGTAAAACAAGCAGTCAAAGGAAAAAAAAAACATGCATTGGCATATGCAAAGGAAAGAGAAGAACCTGCTTTGATTGAAGTCAATAATCGGAAACTTCTCAAAGCACAGCAGACAAAGAACCAATACAAGAAAACTGCACTACAAACCAGAGCAGACAGCTGGCACAACGAAGCATTGCATGGGCAGTTCCTTGACAAAACTGAAGGAAAAGTTGATAAGGAGAAGACCTGGTTATGGTTCACGAATGGGACACTGAAGGAGACCTAAAGCTTGATTCTTGCAACCCAGGAGCAAGCCATCAGAACAAATGCCATTAAGGCCATGA